GCGGGCCTGACCTAAGGAGGATTTTATTTAGGGACGATTTTAAGTATAATTTTAATTGGAACACAGCTTCGAATATTTGGTTTTAATTTGGTTTTAGAGGGGTTTTTATTTTTATTGATATGTGTATCTGTTTTAATATGCTGTGCACCGCCCTGAGTCCTGCGGGAGAAGGGCGGTATAGAAATTAAAATAATAAAAATAAAATAAAATAGACAGGTTCCCAATTCTTTGTCATGAACAACAAAATACAGCAAATATCAACCCACCTGGAGCCTTTCTCAGTTTTCCTATCTCCAAGATTTATCCTGGAGATCTTAAGGGGGCATAAAATTGAGAAAGACAGATCTACCAGTAGGCAAAAAGTTCAATGCTGAAAATAACAAAGGTTATTATTTAAGCCAAGGGCAATGTAACAATAGCAGTATGAGAATTTACTTTTTGAAGATAGATATCAAAATATCAAATTTTTAAAAAAAGGTGGGGAGGAGAGAAAACAGAAAGAATTCTGTCCAAGAAACCCTGAATTACAATTTGCTTTACTGGAGATCTGAGCCTAACTGGATAAATTCCATACAAAAGCATGAGACATTTTCTCCATAGAAAGGAGATTTCAGAAGAAACATTAACCTACAAAAAGTTGAGCAATAACAGCAAAGCCATTGACTTTTGAGAGAAAACTAGTGGTGAAATGTTTATATCCCACCTTTAAACAACTTTTAAAGTTTACCACTCTGCTTTTACAAGACTATTTTACCCCATTATGGGCATCATTGTTTTAATACATAGCAGGCATTTCAACATACAACTGTAGAGACAAAAACAAGACTGGGATAATTTAAAATAGATAAAGGTAGTTTTAGTCAACAGTAGGATAAGAACAGAAGCAATATAAAGAAATATCAAAAGAAAATAAAGACTTATGTATTAAGGAAAAAATGTTTTTGAGTGAGCAGGTAGTTAAACAAAACATGCTACTGGCCAGAGCCTTGATATTCTATGATATTTGCTCAACTTTGACAAATAAATCAAGAGGCACCTGGTTTTTATACTCTTTTACCTTACCTTTTTTGCATTGCCATCAATATTGTTGATCTAAAAGTGTTGCTATCGAATGACAAAATACTTTTATGATGCAAACACAAAACTCTACTTAGGATCAAATTAAACCATAACAATGAAACATACAAAAAAGAAACATTTCACCTATAACCTAAACGGGTACATATTAGTTTCTGAGAATCTTTTTACTGAAGTGGCATTCCTGAGCCTGTCTAGGATGGCAATTCTGAGGACCCTCTGTTGCCAGCAACAGATGCTAATCTGAGCAGACTGAAAGCCCAGGATTAGATAAGCCCTTAGTCGGTCAGTCCATCTTTGTCAACGATTTTAAATCGCTTAATGGAATTAGAAATCATTCTCAATTTGTTTTCAGTACCAAAAACCCACCGTATCCCCCCGCCTGGATAGGTGTTTTTGGAGACGTGCAAGCATACAAGCTAAAATCCTCTGTTTGGAAACCAGCACGGTTCAAAGAGGGTTCAGATGCGCTGCGGTGAATTTTTGGCAACGACCGGGCCAGAAGCTCAATAGATGCAAGGATCTGAAAATAAAGGAAAACCTAGCATTACTTATATGGACACAATGTATTACAAATTATAAGACAATTATATTTAAAGTTGCAATCCTGTTAGATGTACTGTTTTTAATAAATCTTGTGAAATTTAATAAACAGAGAAGTTGCCATTTTAAGAACTAACTCCATTCTCCTACAAACATGATGGAGATAATGTGACTAATTTACTGCCCCTTTTCAATGAAAGTCAAAGGCTTTTGAGATAGCGTACTGCCTAAAGCACAACTGGAATGCTGCAAAGGCAAAATCCAAGTGAAGCACTGAAACCATTTAAAAGCTCATTCCGAACACCCTTTAAATTGTAACTGCTGCTTTTTACAAAAATTTCAAGTATAAATGTTTCACAGACTGTACTATGGTAGGGATCCTTGCTCAGACTCCTTTCATGATGTCACAAAGGCAAGGCAGGAGTTGGAAGGTACTACATTTTGCTGAAATCTTGACTGAAAAAAATGGCTGCAGTTAAATTATTAAAGTCTGATTGTTTTCTTCCCAATTTTGCAGGATCTCCAGTAAAATCCGAAGGATTCTAACCTATGGTTTTTCACTTTGGGATTGATTGTCCAAATATCTGGATAGGAAACATACATTTTCAGAGTGGAGACAGATTGATTTATCAAAGCAGCCTCTTTTAAATAGAAAAGCACTTTAACTATCAAGGAGGGATTAGTCAAAGATTAAAGTCAAACCTTGGTTCCATTATCATGGAACCCCATACTTCACCACCAATGGACTAAAGCAGTGATGGCGAACCTTTTAGAGACCGAGTGCCCAAACTGCAACCCAAAACCCACTTACATATCATCGAGTGCCGGGTGGGTGTGGCCCATTGGGTGGGCGTGGCTGCGGTGATAATGGCAGACTGGGTGGGATTAAAAAGTTCAATCAATCAGTTCCAACTTTGCGATATCTTTTTTTTCCCTGCAAGAAGTTGAAATTGATTGATTGATTGAACCTTTTTTTTTTTTGCACACGGCGGTGGAGGCCTAAAGCAAAAAGGTTTTATAAAACCCAGCTGAAGGCCGAGGCACGCGTGCCCACAGAGACAACACGTGTGCCCACAGAGAGGGCTCTGCATGCCACCTGTGGCACGCGTGCCATAGGTTCGCCACCATGGGACTAAAGCTATCCCTGTAGCAACAGAATTATTTAAACTAGAAAGCCCTACCTCTATATATGTTTGTTACACCATTTTGTTTATGGGCCTAAGACTTCAGAGGTAGACTATTCTTGGCTGGAGTTGCTGTGAGGTGCAGAGCTAAATATGTATATGGTGTGGATACTCTAGGACACAGGTGTCAACAGACTCAGACTCAACCCTTCCAAGACCGAGTGGCTGTGGTTGCCGGCGCCCCGGCATAGCCAGCTGATTCCATCGCTGTCTATAGGGGGCGAAACTTTGGCCCCCTCAGAGAGGGCTCGCAACTTGGGTGTCCTCCTGGATCCGCGGCTGACACTGGAAGACCATTTGTCGGCCGTGACCAGGGGGGCATTTTATC